TTTTTTTAAGAAGATGCTCCCTTATCTTTTTTTTTTTTTTTGAAGATTTAATTTATTTATTCATGAGCGACACAGAGAAAGGCAGAGGGAGAAGCAGGCTCCATGCAGGGAGCCCGACGTGGGACTCCATCCCCCGTCCCCAGGATCAGGCCCCGGGCTGCTTTTGGGGGATGTGGAGGGAGATGGGGTTATTACATTTAAAATTTATTGTGAAAATTTTACAAACACAGCCCAAAGTAGCAAGAATATTGAAAGATCGTGTCTCTACCCCTCACTCAGCTTCAGCATTTGTCAACGTTCTCTTTTTTTTCCCCTTTTGGTTTTCTCTGCTCAAGTATTTTGCAGCAAATCCCGCACATCATTTTACCTGTGAATACTTCAGTATGCATCTCTTATGAATAAGGAATTTTTAAAAATGTTTATTAAAATTTGTATTAAAGTATAATAAACATAGAATGTTATATTTGTGTACAGCATATTGACTCAGCAATTTTCTACATGACCAGATGCTTACCATGATAAGTATAGTTACTGTCACTATACAATGTTACTGCAGTATTATTGGCTATATTCCGTATGCTGTACTTTTCATCTCTGTGACTTATTTTATAACTGGAAGTTTGCACCTCTTAATCCCCTTTATCTATTTTGCCCATACCCCCACCCCCACCATTTTGTTCTCTGTATCTTTGAGTCTGTTTTATGTTTGTTCATTTGTTTTGTTTGTACATCCGTTCGTCTATCAGTGGACCCTCAGGTTGCTTCCATATCTTGGCTGCTGTAGATAATGCTGTAATAAACAGGAGTGCGTGTATCTTTTTGAATTAGCATTTTCATTTTCTTTGGGTAAATACCCAGTAGTGAAATTACTGGATCATATGGTAGTTCTATTTTTAAGTTCTCTAGGAAGTTCTTTTATTTTTATTTTTTTTATTTATTTATGATAGTCACAGAGAGAGAGAGAGGGAGGCAGAGACATAGGCAGGGGGAGAAGCAGGCTCCATGTAGGGAGCCCGAAGTTGGACTCCATCTCGGGTCTCCAGGATCATGCCCTGGACCAAAGGCAGGTGCCAAACCGCTGCGCCACCCAGGGATCCCCACTAGGAAGTTCTTTTTTTCACGTAGACAAGTCTTTTTAATACTAGCCATTCTGACAGGTGTGAGGTGGTATCTCATTGTAGCTTTGATTTGCATTTCCTTGAGTGATGTTGAGCATCTTTTCAAGTGTCTGTTGGCCCTCTGGATGCTGTTTTTGGAAAAACATCTATTCAGATCCTCTGCCAATTGGAAATTTTTTTTTTTTTTTTTGGTGTTGAGTTGTGTAAGTTCTTATGTATTTTGGATTATTAACCACTTATTAGATATATCATTTGCAAATATCATCTCCCATTTAATAGAGGTTGTCTTTGTTTTGCTGATCGTTTTTTACTATACAAAAGCTTTTTTATGTTGATGTGGTCAGAATAGTTTACCATTACTTTTGTTTTTCTTGCCTGAAGAGGCATATTTAGTAAAATGTTGCAACAGCTGATGTCAGAGAAATTACTGCCTCTGTTTTCTTGTAGGAATTGTATAATTTCAGGTTTCACATTTAGGTATTTATTTATTTTTAAAGATTTTATGTATTTATTCATGAAAGAAACAGAAAGAGGCAGAGACAGAGGGAGAAGCAGGCTCTTCACAGTGAGCCTGATGACATTTAGGTGTTTAATCCATTTTGAGGGTTTTTCTCTTTTTAAAATTCCAAGACAGTTAACATCAGTGTTACATTAGTTTCAGATGTACAATATAGTGATTCAGTAATTCTATACATTACTTAGAGCTCATCAGGATAAGTGTATAATGAATCATTTTCACCTATTTCACCCATCTTCCCCTCCCCTTCTTCTCTAGTAATCATCACTTTGTCCTCTATGGTTGAGTCTGTTTTTTTGTCTTTTTCCTCCCTTTGTTCACTTGTTTCTTAAATTCCTAAATTCCACATATGAGTGAAATCATCTTGTATTTGTTTTTTTCTTACTGGCTTATTTCACTTAGCATTATACCCTCTAGATCCATTCATGTTGTTATGAGATTTCATTCTTTTTTTTTTTAATATCTGATAATTCCATTTTTTCTGTGTGTGTGTATCAAATCTTCTTTATCCATTCTTGTATCATTGGATGATTAGTTTGCTTCCATATTTCTGCTATTGTAAATAATGCTGCAGTAAACAGGGGTACATGTATCAGTTCAAATTAATGTTTTCATATTCTTTGGGTAAATACCTAGTAGTGAAATTACTGCATCATGTGGTAGTTCTATTTTTTTTTTTTTTTGAGGGACCTCCACACTGTTCCACCATTTGCATTCCCACCAACAGTGGAACCCTGCTTGAGGGTTCATTTTTCACCACATCCTTTTCAACACTTGTTTCCTGTATTTTTTATTTTAGCCATTCTGACAGGTGTAAGGTGGTATTTTGTTGTGGTTTTGATTTACATTTCCCTGATGATTAATGATGTTGAACATCTTTTCATGCATCTCTTGGCCATCTGTCTTCTTTGGAGAAATGTGTTCTGCCTATTTGTAATTGGTTTATTTGGGGGCTTTCTGGTGTTGAATTGTACAAGTTCTTCATATATTTTGGATATTAACCCTTTATTGCCTGTATCACTTGCCAATATACCCATCCAGGATGTGTTTTAGGTTTGTTGATTGTTTCCTTTGCTGTGCAGAAGCTTTTTATTTTGATGTAGTCCTAATAGTTTATTTTTGCTTTTGTTTCTCTTGCCTTAAGAGATATATCTAGAAAAACGTTGCTGTGGCTGATATCAGAGAAATTACTACATGTGCTCTTACCGGATTTTTCGGTTTCAAGTCCCACAGTTAGATTCTTAATCAATTTTGAGTTTATTTTTGTGTATGATGTAAGAAAGAGATCCTGTTACATTCTTCCACATGGAGCTGCCCACTTTTCCCAACACCATTTGTTAAAGAGACTTTTTCCCATTGCATATTCTTTCCTGCTTTGTTGAAGATTAATTGACCTTCTAATCATGGGTTTATTTCTGGGTGTTCTTTTCTGTTCTACTGACCTATGTATGTGTCTACTTTTTGTGCCAGTACAATGCTGTTTTGATTACTACAGCTTTGTAATATATCTTGAAATCTAGAATTGTGATACCTCCATTTTTGTTCTTTCCTAAGATTGCTTTAGCTATTTGTAGCTTTTTTGTGGTTCCATACAAATTTTAGGATTTCTTGTTCTAGATCTGTGAAAAAGGCTAATGATGTTTTCATAGGGATTGTATTTAATGTGTAGATTGCTTTGGTAGTATGGAGATTTTAACAATAATTATTCTGATCCATGAGCATGGGATATCTTTCCATTTATGTCATTTTCAATTTCTTTCATCAGTGTTTTATAGTTTTCAGAGTATAGGTTTTTTACCTCCTTGGTTTAGTTTTTTCCTGATTTTATTATTTTTCAGGCAATCATAAATAGGATTGTTTTCTTACTTTCTCTTTCTGCTACTTTGTTATTAGTGTGTAGAAATGCAACAGATTTCTGTATATTTACTTTATTTCCTGTGACCATACTGGACTCATTTATCAGTACTAGTAGTTTGTGTATGTGTGTGTGTAGTTTGGCTTTTGTTTTGTGGTTTTTGTGTGTGTGTGTGTGTGTGTGTGTGTGTGTGTGGAGTCTTTAGGGTTTTCTGTATATAAGTTTCATGTCATCTGCAAGCAGTGCAAGTTTTACATCTTTTTTACCAGTTAGGATGCCTGTTATTTCTTGTCTAATTGGATTGCTATGGCTAGGACTTCCAGTATCATATTGAATAAAAGTGGTGAGAATGGATATCCTTGTCTTGTTTTTGATCTTAGGGGAAAAGCTTTTAGATTTTCACCATAAGTATGATGTTGGCTGTGGCCTTATTATGCTGATGTATGTTCCTTCTAAACCTGCATTGGTGAAGGTTTTTATCATGAATGGATGTCGTTCTTTGTCAAATGTTTTTTTCCTTTTTGCATCTGCTGAAATGATTATATGGTTTTTGTGCTTTCTCTCATTGATGTGATATATTACATTGGTTGGTTTGTGAATACTGAACCACCCTTGCAGCCCAGGAATAAATCCCACTTAATTGTTGTAAATGATTTTTGTAATGTATTGTTGGGTTTGGTTTACTAATATTTTTTGAGAATTTTTGCATCTGTGTTCATTAGAGATGCTGGTCTGTATTTCTTTTTTCTTTTTTTTCCTTTTTTTTTTTCTTCTTTCTTTTTGTGGTGTCTTTATCTGTTTTTGGTATCAGGGTAGTGTTGGCCTCGTAAATGAATTTAGAAGCTTCCTTCTTCTATTTTTTGGAATAGTTTGAGAAGAGTATTTACTCTCTTTTAAATGTTTGGTAGAATTCACTTGTAAAGCTGTCTGGTCCTGGACTTTGGTTGGTTGGGAGATTTACCAGTGATTCAGTTTCACTGCTGGTTAAAGGAATAAGATGGTTTCATTGATCTGTTCTATTGGATTTTGTAACTTCTATTCCATTTACTTCTGCTCTAATCTTTATTATTTCTTTCCTTCTACTGGCTTTGTTTTTTTTTTTTTTTTTTTTTTTTTTAGCTTCTTTAGGTGTAAGGTTAGGTTGTTTGAGATTTTTCCTGCTTCTTAGAGGTAGGCCTGTATTGCTATATACTTCTCTTTTGGAAGAGCTTTTGGTGCATCTCAGAGATGTTGGACTGTTATGTTTTCATTTTTATTTGTCGCCATGTACTTTATTTTTTTCTTAAATTTTTTTAAAGCCTATTTTTAAAAAAAGATTTTATTTATTTATTCATGAGAGACTCAGAGAGAGAGGCAGATACACAGGCAGAGAGAGAAGCAGCCTCCATGCAGGAAGCCCGGTGCAATATTTGATCCCAGGACTCCGGGATCATGTCCTAAGCCAAAAGCAGACACTCAACTGCTGAGCCACCCAGGTGTCCCATCGCCATGTACTTTTTGATTTCTTCTTTGATTTCTTAGTTCACCCATTCATTAGTAGCATGTTATTTAACTTCCATGTATTTGTGCTCTTTCCAGATTTTTTTCTTGTGATTGATTTCTGTTTTCTTAGTGTGTGGTCAGAAAAGATGCATGGTATGATTTTGATCTTATTGAATTTGAGACTTGTTTTGTTTCCTAACATGTGATCTCTTCTGGAGACTGTTCCATATGCACTTGAAAAGAATGCATATTTTGTTTTAGGATGGAATGTTGTGGATAATTCTGTTAGATCCATCTGGCCCAATATGTCAGTCAAAGCTAATGATTCCTTGTTGACTTTCTGTTTGGACAATCTATTAATGTAAGTGGGGTGTTAAGTTCCCTTACTATTATTTTATTACTATTAATTTTCTCCTTTATGTTTATTAGTAGCTGTTTTTTTGTATTTGGGTCTTCCCATGTTGGGTCACAAATATTTACAATTGTTACATCTTTTGTTGGATTGTTCCCTTTATGATTATGTAGTGTCCTTCTTTCTATCTTGATTTTGTCTGTTTTATAGTCTGTTTTGTCCTATATATATATTGCCACCTTGGCTCTCTTATCACTTCCATTTGTGTGATAAGTGCTTCTCCATCCCCCCTTTTTTTTTTTAAGATTTTATTTATTTGACAGAGAAAAGGAGAGGGAAGCAGGGAGGGAGGCAGGCATAAGCAGGGGGAACAGCAGGCAAAGGGAGATGAAGAAGCAGGCTTTCTGCTGAATAGGGAGCCCAAGGCAGGGCTCCATCCTAGGACCCTGAGATCATCATCTGAGTCAAAGGCCAACACTTAACCAACTGAGCCACCCAGGCGCCCCTCCATCCCTTAACTTTCAATCTGTGTGTGTGTCATTAGGTCTGAAATGAAGCTCTTGTGGACAACATGTAGATGGGTCTTGCTTTTTTATCCATAATGCCATCGTGTGTCTTTTGATTGCTGTATTAGTCGATTTACATTCAAGGTGATCATTGTCAGGTATGTATTTATTGCCATTTTGTTACTTCTTTCATGGTTGTTTTTGTGGTTCTTGTCTGTTCCTTTTTTCTTTTTGTCTCTTAGTTTGCTGGCTTTCTTTAGCAACATACTTCACTTTCTCTTTGTTTTTTGCTTATCTGTTACTGGCTTTTGATTTGTTATTATTAGATTTATAGATCTCATGTATATAGCAGTTTATGTTAAGTTGATGGTCGCTTAAGTTTGAACCTGTTCTTTATTCCTCTCCCTACCATGTTTTAGGAATATGTATAATACTTTACACTCCTTTATTTTGTGAATCCTTTGACCAATGTTTTTTAAAGATTATATTTTTATTTATTTGAAAGTGAGAGTATGCAAGTTGGGAGAGAAGTAGAGGGAGAGGGGCAGACAAACTCTGTACTATGTGCAGAGTCTCACATGGGGCCTGATGTCTTGACCCTGAGATCAGGACCTGAGCTGAAATCAACAGTTGGACACTCAACTGACTGAGCCACCCAGGAGCTCCTCCCTTGACTGATTTTTATAAATATACCTAGTTTTACTGCTTTTGTGCCTCCTACTTTTTTTACTCCTTCTTATGGTCTTTTGTTTCCACTGATAAAGTCCCGTTTAATGTTTCTTGGAGGGCTGTTTAGTGGTCATGAATTCTCTGTAACTTATTTGTCTGTTAAACTCTTTATTGGTCTTTCTATTCTGAATGATAGCCTTCCCAGACAGAGTATTCTCTGTTGCAGATTTTTTCCTTTTAGCACTTTGAATATTTTATGCCACATTCTCTGGCCTGCAGAGTTTCTGCTGAAAAATCAGCTGATGGCCTTATGGGGTTTCCTTATTTGTAACTGTTTTCTTTTCTCTTGATGCTTTTAAATTTCTCTCACTGCCTTTTGCCATTTTAATTACTATAGGTCTTGGTGTGGACCTCCTTGGGTTTATTTTGTGGGAGACTATGCCTCCTGCATCTGGATTTCTCTTTCCTCCCCTAGATACAGTAAGTTCTCAGCCACTTTTTTCTTCAAATAAATTTTCTGCCTCCTATTCTCTCTCTCCTTCTGGGATCCCTATAATACAAATGTTACTACTCTTGATAGTGTCTCTTTGTTTCCTAAGTCTGTTTTCATTTTTTGTTATTGTTTTTTCTCTTTCTTGTTCAGCTTGATTACTTTCCATTTCTGTCCTCCAGGTCACTGATCCATTCTTTTGCTTCCTCTAGTCTACTGTTTATTCCCTCTGATGTATTTTTTATTTCAGTTATTAAGTTTTTCATCTATGATTAGTTCTCTTTTATGTTTTTTATCTCTTTGTCAGGGGGTCTCATTGAGGTCCTCTACTCTTTTCTCAAGTCCAGTGAGTATCCTTATGACCATTGTTTTAAATTCTCTACCAGGCATATTATCGCCATTTCATTTAGCTCTTTTGCTGTGATTTTGTTCTGCTCTTTCATGTGGGACATATTTCTCTCATTTTGTCTAACTGTCTATTTTTGTGTGTTAGGAAAGTCAGCTATGTCTCCTACTCTTGAAAGTCATGGCCTTTTTTAAAAAAAAAATTTTTATTAGAGAGCACAGGATGGTGGGGAAGGGCCAGGAGGAGGAGAACCAGACTGCCCACTGAGCAAGGAGCCTGCTTTGGGACTCGATTCCAGGACCCCAAGATCATGACCTGAGCTGAAGGCAGACGCTTAATGGACTGAGCCACCCAGAGGCCCCTGAAAGTCATGGCCTTATGGAGAATAGGTTTAGTGGTGTCCTGCTGTGTCTCCTGTTTACCAGAACCTGGCACTTCAGGGCTCTCCTGTGTGTTGCATGCACCCTGCTACCGTGGCAGAGCCGCTCTTACCTTTAGATTAGTCATCTGCGGTGGCTCTCTTTGCCTGTTGAAGGCAGGGTTTGGTCCCTGTGTTGTTGGTCAGCCAGTCTGGGCTGCCTTGGGCTTAGTTGAGTCAGACCAGGTGTGTGCCAGAGCTGTGGTAGCACCAAACTGCAGGGTGCCTCTCTGTGTTGTCCCCTGAGAAGCTTTTGTTGGTGGATGGGCCCTGCAATGTGACCAGTTGTCTTACTCCAGCCCTCTGTTGGGGCCACAGTGGGACTTGTGTGTGTGGTTATCTTTCTTTCTCTCTGGGGCAGGAGTCACTGTGGAGGGGAAGCTTGCCCAGTGCCGGGCTTGTGGCACCAGTTTGGATGGGCTCTGCCAAGAGTGTATTGGAGGGGACAAATTCGCAGGGGAATGTGGATATAGGCCCTAAGGTCTCAGCAAGGATTGTGCAGGTCCATTGAGGGAAGGGACCTGGAGCTGCTTTAGAAGACTGCTGCCTCACTGCGGGGAGCATGGTGCACAGGGCCAGCAGGAGGGACCAGCATCCCCTGGGCCTGAGGTCAATTGGGTTGGAGGGGATGGATCCTCAGAAGAGTACAGGGTCAGGCATGGACTGTTAGCAGGGGTTGTGTGGGGCGGTTCTGGGAGAGCTGCAGCAAGGCACGGCCTGGGGGCAGGGGTGGACAGGTCTGCAGGAGAACACGGTGGGATGGTGCTTTTAGCACATTAGGTGGCTCGTGTTCATGCTGTGCTGGTTCCTGCAGATGCTCATGTGCCTAGGCTGGGGGGTGAGGAAAGAAATGGTTCTAGCAAGCTCCTTTTTCCTGGAGAAGCCCCCAGAGATCCCTGCCCCTCCAGCACCTGCATGAGATTAGTAAACAGATGTCCCTCCCTTATCTCAGGCATTTCTCATAAAGGTGTTTCCATGCTGTATCTCCAAAGGGCCATTTGTTGTGCTATCTCTTTAAGGACAGGGACTCAGTTTCCTATCACCCTCGGCTCTTCCAGAGCTGAGCCCACAGTTTTTAAAGTTCCAGGTATTAAGCTCCACAGGTTGATTGTAAGAACTTGAGAAATTAGGCTCCTCTGGCTTTCAAAGCCCAATGTTACTGGGACTGGTTTTCCCCAGAGGGTCCCCCGTGCTTGGGGTGCAGAGTGTGGGGCTCTGTTTTCCTCTCCTGTGTATATGTGTCCCTCCCTCCCACAGACCGTCCCGCCGGTCTATTTAGTGCCTGACTGTGCCTCCAGCCTTCCTACGCTGTTGGATGTGGCCCGTTCTCTACATGTATTTGTTCTGCCGGTCCTTGGATCCTTTTCTGGGTTATTTGCACTGATGTAGGTGTTATCTAGTTGTGTCTGTGGTACGAATGGAGCTTAGGACCCTCCTATTCCTCCATCTTCCCCAGAACTCTTGACTATTACATTTCCCTTTTGCCAACACTGTGCTCTTTTTCATCACTGCAGCTTTATAGTTAGTTGTGGAATCTGGTCACGTTAGGCTCCGGACTTTGTTCTTCAGTATTGTGTTGGCTCTTTGGGGTCTTCGGCTTCTCATATAAACTTTAGAACGGGTTTGTTGATACCTCAAGATAATTTGCTAGGATTCTGATGGAGATTGCACTGGATATATGGAGCAAGTTGGCCTGTCAACAACATCCTATCTCCCTATCCATAACATGGACCATCTCTCCATTTATTTAGGTATTCTTTGATTTCTTTCAGAAATTTTGTGGTTTTCCTCATAGAGATTTTATACAAATTTGTTTTAGATCTAAGTATTTTATTTTCTGGGTGCTAATATAAATGTTATAGTGTTTTGAATTTAAAATCCCGTTTTTTCTTGGCTGGAATGTAGGAAAGCAATCAATTTTTGTATAATAACCTTGTATCCTGAAGCCTTGCTACACTCACTTGTTAGTAGTGCCAGAAATTTCTTGTTAATTCTTTGGTATTTTCTAAATAGTCAATCAAATCATCTGCAGACAAAGATATTATTGTGTTTCTTCTTTCCCATCTGTGAATCTTTTCTTATTTTATATTGACTCGTACTTGCAGTGTGATGCTCATAGGAGAGGCGAGAGGGAACATCCTTGCTTTGTTCTTGACCTTCAGGGACAGCAGCTACTTTCTCAGCACTCAGCAGGGTATGAGTGGTGGCTTTTCCACACTTTCTTTAAACACAACCACAGTTATCTGCAGAGGCTGTCAGCACAGCCTGTTCTTAACTTGAGCCTGACAAAATTAGTATCACTTCTTTACTGTTCTCTAACATCTAGCCAGTGTTCATATTTCCTGGATTGCTCAAAACTGCTAACATGGTCTCTACATGTTGCATTTGGTTGCTGGGTCTCTAAAGTCCCCTTTTATTCCATCAGAGTTCTCTCTTTTCATGTTATTAACTTGTTGAAAGCTTCACATTTTAAAAAGATTACACGTATGTCAATTCGCCCCTCAGTATTTCAGCACCATTTCTTAGTAACAGCTTGTTTTTCCCATGTGCAGAGTATCATGATCACAGCTCCCAGTGTTCACAGTGGTTCTCTAATACCCGGTTCATCCTGAACTATCCTATGTAACCCCCCAAATGCTTTCTAGTTCATTTGTGCAAACTAGGACCTGGCCAAAGCAAATAATCATAACCGAAGAATGGTTATCTAATCTCTGCATTCAGGAAAGTCTCTCCTCTTAATAATTTCTTCATGACACTGGCTTGTTGAAGCCCTGGGCCATGTGCTGACTTCTTAAATTTCTTAAATTTCAAATCACATTTAAAATCCTGGGAACTCAATCTTGGATATATAAATGGGGGTGGAGGGGCAGCCAGATGCTGGCACCAACCCTTCTTCATGTCCCTGTCCTGGCCGCCGCCCCCCTTCCCCCCAATCTGCATTCTTTGGAGACCTGTAGCACTCTTTCTGGTTGGGTTTCCTGCGACTTGCCCTTTGGCTTTAGGGCAGATGTGGGTGGAGAATTTCTTTTTTCCCTCTGATGGGTGACTGTCTCTCACCATGAGTGCTCTCCTGTGCCTACTCTGAGGCCCTGTCCTTAATAGAGTCCCCACAGTGAGAAAAGTCTCATCTACCTGCAGGGGTCTGGGCTTTAATTCCTAACTTGAGATTGGGACTGAGTTTACTGCTGATCTGACTCTGGGGGCCCTTTTTAAAAATAGGACACTGGTTACAAATGGGCAGCTCTGATGCCCCCTGCAACCTGCCTGCCTTATCTGTGCTCCACCACTGAGCTGGGAGGCTAGTGGAAGGGTACTTCTCCAGAGCGCCCCTTCACCTCTGTTCTTTTCCTCAGCTCTGCCATCTAGGAACAGCGCTCAGCTGACCAGGAATATGGCCCCAGGGCTCCTGACAACCAGGGATGAGGTGAGTCCTGAAATTTTTTCTTAGTTCTTGCAGGATGGACTGATTGCCTTTCTCGGTCCTGGGGCTGTCCTGATGGTGTTAGGTCCTATCTAGCCGTGATTTTGGGGGTGTGGCCCATCTTGCCTGGAACCTTTTCTTAGACTCCTCTGCCCTATTCATGACTCAGGCATTCACCGAGTAGCAAACCGTAATCACAGTTAAGATACAGATACTTACTGGGCACGTAAGCATGGTCATACATGCTTACATGCCCAGTGATTCCCAAGGCCTAAAAAAGTGAAGGAAGACTGTTAGGAGACAGCTCTCTTCCGAGCTGTCTAAGCTGCCCCTGATGGACTTGGGAGGTTGAAGAACTTCCAGTGGGAGTATGACAGGAAGTCTACTGTGTCTCAGAAACCGGGTGACTGGCAGGCCGTCCCTCTTCATTTAGAAAGCTTTGAGCAGCCAGTGGCCTTTAGTCACATTAGTTTTCTGTGAGGTGGTGAGGGTGCTGACCTGTTGTCTGTCTGCTTGTGACTCAGGATACATTTAGTTTGGCCAGTCTTGCGTTTTATTTATATATATATATATATATATATATATATATATATATATATATATATATATATATACATATACATATACATAAATTGTGTGTGTGTGTGTGTGTGTATTTTTTTAAGATTTTATTTTACTCGAGAGAGAGAGAGAGAACAAGAGAGAACACAGAGGGAAAGGAAGAAGCAAACTCCCCCTTGAGCAGGGAGCCCAATGCGGGGCTCAATCCCAGGACCTGAGATCTTGATCTAAGCCAAAGGTGGACACTTAAGTGACTGAGCAACCGAGGCGCCCCCTGTAATTTATATTAAATGAGTTTTCCACACTTAAAAATTGGAAGATTATGTCTGAAAGTGTAGATTGCCAACTTCTCTGAGAATAGGTCGTTCATTCACCACTCTCCAGAGTCCACTCTCTTGGCAGATGACAAATAGCTGAAGCCAGTGTCTCCACAGTGTGGTTGTACTCACTTTCAGTCCCAGACCCCAAGGCTAAGGAGACTGCTTCACTCATTCCTTCCCTGTCCCTTGAACGCTTTGCCTTCACCTGCTCTGAGCCTGGACAGCCAAATCGCCAGAATCTGGAAAGCTAGGCTGAGGATTGTGGGCCTGAACTTGGAGCAAGCTGGATTTTGAAGGATTTTGAGGATTTTGCCATGTCAAAATCAAGGATTAGGAAATAAATAGTATAGTTGATCCTTGAACAATACGGGTTTGAACTGTGTGGGTCCATTTATATGTGGATTTTTTTCAGTACATACAGGACAGCACTTTAAGTGTATTTTCTCTTATGAATTTCTTAATAATACTTTTTTCTCTAGTTTATTGTAAAAATACAGTATATAATACACATAACATAAAATATATGTTTATTCATTGTATCAGTGAGGCTTCTGGTTAATCATAGGCTATTGGTTAAGTTTTTGGGGAGTCAAAAATTATAGGCAGATTTGTGACTGTATGGTGGATCAGCACCCCTGTAGCCCCGTGTTACAGATCATCTGTAACTGAGTGAATATATGTCCTAAAGGAAAGATTTTTCTAACCTGTAAGATTAGGCAACAGGTGAACTTGACATAATTGGATAAAATTAACATTTACTAATCACCTAAATAGAGAGCAGGTGGGCTATCTTGTGTTGATTATATCAGTTACACAGAAATAGTGTCAGTTGGATTCAGTTTTTCATTGCCTGTCATATCAAATACAGAATTTTTTTGCAAGAAGATTTGAACTTGATCTTAGTCATGGGTTCGTATGGTGGATATTTGTATGTTACTGTACAAATTAAAATTGGTTATCAGAATCATTGAGAGCTGTGTGTCCCTCAGTTGTCAAATATTTTATACCTTTGAGGGAAAATATTTATGTAGTGTATTTAATTCAGCGTGTTACTTAAAGTAAGAGAAAACTTTTGTATGTTTTACTTTACCATTTATGATGTTAATAGAGAAGCATTCTTGGCCAAAATGGAATGAATGTGTCACTGGCTCAATTTTTCTGTCCCTACTGTGCCACTTCCTGTGGGATCCTTAGCACACCCTGAATCTTATCATCCTGTTATCCAAGTGGGGAGGGGTTGAGGAGTGGGCAAATAGGTGAAGGGGATTAAGAGGTACAAATTTCTAGTTATAAAATAAGTCATGGGGATGCATTGTATAGCAGGGGAAATATAGTCATAATACTATAGTATCTTTGGTGACAGATGGTAACTAGATATTGTGGGGATATATTTGTAATGTATAAAAATATTAAATCACTATGAAGTACAATTGAAACTAAGAGGATATTGTGTGTCAATTATATTTCAATTTAAAAGGAAAAGTTACAAAAGATTAAGAAGGGGGGGCAGCTGGGTGGCTCAGTGGTTGAGTGTCTGCCTTTGGCTTTGAGTGATCTCAGCATCCTGGGATCAAGTCCTGCATCAGTCTCCCCACAGGGAGCCTGCTTCTTCTCTGCCTATGTCTCTGCTTCTCTGTGTGTGTCTCTCATGAATAAATAAATAAAATCTTCTTTTAAAAAAACAACAACAAAAAAAATAAAAAAAAATAAAACAACAACAACAAAAAAAACCCACGAAAGACTAAGAAGAATATCATATGTTGATAAAAAGTTCATGGAGAGAAGATATAACAATTATAAATACGTACATACCTAGCAGTATAGTCTCAACATATATGGAGTAAAAATGGGCAGAATTAAAGGGAAAAAATGGTTCTACAATAATGGGTGTAGACTTCAATACCCGCCTTTCTATAATGAATAGAACAGCCAGATGGGAGAGCAAAGGAAATACACAATTTGAACTACACTATATATCAGTTGCAACTAAGACGCAAACCACACACACCAGCACCACCCAATAACAGCAAAGTAAATATTTCACTCAAGTGCACCTAAAACATTTTCCAGGATAGACATCTATTGGGCCACAAGGTAGGTGAATTTGAATTTGAAATGATTGAAATCACACAAAGTAACTTCTGATCGCAGTAGGATGAAACTAGAAATGATCAGCAGAAAGAACTCTGGAGGGCACCCCCGGTGGCGCAGCAGTTTAGCGCCGCCTGCGGCCCCGGGTCTGATCCTGGAGAACCAGGATCGAGTCCCGCTTCTCCCTCTGCCTGTGTCTCTGCCTCTCAGTCTCTCTCTCTGAATAAATAAATTAAAAAAAAAAAAACTTATTAAAAAAAAAAAGAAAGAACTCTGGAAAATTCACAAATATGTGGAAATTAAGTAGCACACTCAAGCAACCATTCTACCCAAGAAGAAAAATCAAGAGAGGGTAGAAAATACACTGAGACAAATAGACATGAAAACTCAACATTCTAAAACTTATGGGATACAGCAAAAATGATGCTTAGAGGGAATTTTATAGCTATAGATGCATAATGTAAAAAGAAGAAAGATCTAAAATCAGCAACCTAATTTTACAATTTAAGAGCAAACTAAACCCAAGCTAGAAGCAGGAAGGAAATAATAAAGATTAAAGATGAGATAAAATAGAAAACAGAAACATGATAGAGAAATCAACAAAATTTAAAGCTGGTTCCTTAAAAAGATCAACAAAATTGACAAACCTTTATCTAGATTGACTAACAACAAAATAAGTAAAATAAAAAATGAACTTGGAGACATTACTGTCAATTTTTTTTAAGTAAGAAGGGTTATAAGGGAATACTTACATAAGAGAACAGCTGTATGGCAACAACTTGGCTACCCAAGGTGAAATGGATAAATTTTTAGAAATGCACAATCTATCCAAACTGACTCAGGAAAGAATAGAAATTCTGAATAGACCTAGAAATAGTGAAGATATTAACTCAATAATAAAAACCCTCCCAACAGAGAAAACCTCACAACCTGGTGGCTTTGTTAATTCTACCAAACATATAAAAAAAAAAGTTAACAGAATCTTTCTCCAACTATTCCAAAAGATTTAAGAAGACACTTCCTAATTCATTCTATGAGGACAGCATTACTTTGATACCAGGTCTCAAACAGAGACACTACAAGAAGACTATAGGCTAATATCCCTTATGAACACAGATGGAAAAATCTTCACCAAAATATGTCCAAAGCTAATTCAGCAGCATATTAAGAGTTGTACTTCTTGAGCAAATGAGGTTTACTCTCAATGCAAGAATGTTTCAACATGTTAAAATTAATTCTATAATATACCACATTAGGAGACAGCAGGGTAAAAATCACTCATCATCTCTTAGTTGAAAAATCATATGACAGGGACACCTGGGTGGCTCAGCTGTTGAACATCTGCCTTCGGCTCAGGGCGTGATCCTGGGGTCCTGGGGATTGAGTCCCACATCAGGCTCCCTGCGAGGAGCCTGCTTCTCCCTCTATTTCTCTGCCTCAGTCTATCATGAATGAATGAATTTTTTTTTTTAAATCATGTGACACAACTAAACACCTTTCATGAAAAAACATTCAGCAAACTAGGAATAGAAGGGAACTTTCTCAATGTGATCAAGGCCATATATGAAAAATCCACACTAACACTGTTAGTGGTGAAACACTGAATGCTTTTTTCTGAAGAACACAAACGAAATAAGGATGCCAGCTTTTGCCACTTCTGTTCAACACAGTATGGCAGTTCTAGCCAGAATAATTGGTGAGAAAAAGAAAACAGGGCAGCCCGGGTGGCACAGTGGTTTAGCGCCACCTGCAGCCCAGGGCGTGATCCTGGAGACCCTGGATCGAGTCCCACGTCGGGCTCTCTGCATGGGGCCTGCTTCTCCCTCTGCCTGTGTCTCTGCCTCTCATTCTCTCTCTGTGTTTCTATGAATAAATAAATAAAATCTTTAAAAAAAAAAGAAAAAGAAAACATCCACATCAGAAAAGAAGTAAAGTGATCTCTTCACTGAAGACATTCTCATATTCATAAAGCCTTAAAATCCACACAGGTTAAAAAAAAAGTCAGAGCTAATAAATAGATTTAGCAAAGTG